TAGGGAGGGGCTGACGCAAGTGCAAAAAGCTGGTGGAGGACTAATTCCACAACCTGCAGAATATTAAAAATCATGTGCAAAGAGCTCAACGAAAAACTCAATCACTACGTACTGCATCTTCCGCATAAGGATTGCAGAATGTTAGTAGGTATTCTGTCAGTTCACTGCCTGTCTGCTGCACATGCAGTCAAAAATGCCGGAATTGTGATGAATCCGAGGCAACCGAAACCTTGGAGCATCTCATTTGCAAATGTCCGGCCCTAACGAGGGCAAGAATGAGATACCTAGACTCTCCAGTTCTGGCATCGCTAGAAGATGCCTCCAGGAGGAAGCCAAGCGAACTCCTTGCCTTTGCGAAAAACACCTTGATATTCAAGGATCTCGAAACACGCATAAATAGTCTCTAGGTCCACCCAGGAGTTTCCCCGGATAGCTAGATAGATAGGCCATATTGGCCTATGTGTGGCCCCTCGAGGGCCATCTGGTCTAACCTAACCCAACCTAACCTTTGCTTATTTTCATCTTTTTTGAAATATGGCTATTTTTTTTTATTTCAGAATTTCGGTTAGAATTTTAAGAAAATCGGGCGACATTGTCATATATCTGCCATAGGAGCGACCGGCAGATGTATGGAAAAATGAAAAACTGTGAATGTTAAACGGAAGCGTAAAACTGTAAATGTAATAAAAGTTGTTATGTCTTTATTTTTGTTCAGCATATATGTATATTTATACCTTCAATTATATTTGACATTTTAAATTCAAAATATTATTTTCTTTTTATTAGTTTTTGAAATTTCATCAAAACAAAATTATATGATTTGTATAAATATACATCTTTTACATACCATCTGTTAGAATTTTTTATTTATTTGACCAAAATTGATCGATTTTTAATTATCTAATTGCAAACTGCAAGGATATACAAACTTCCTCGATTCGAAGTAAGTTTTCTTTATTGTTTTCAATTGACCGAAATGAATATATTGTATATACACATCGGCGTTACAATATAAACTATCGTGTATTTATTAGATCTTTACTTTTGTCTAACCAAAGACATTAGAGTCATCAAGATAAGTAACGCCAGACGATTTTATTGCGCACGATTTTTTCGTGCTGGCTTTTGAACTGGCTCCAGGCTCTCCTAAATGTTGTTCAAAAGCCAGCGAAGAGAGCGCTCTAGAGCCAGCCGTTATCTTGTACGCATTCAGCGACGCCGCCGAGTGTTTGTGTGCAAACGGGCCTCAAGATGGCCAATTTCGCTATTAAATTTATTTTTTATTTTAACATCTCTTTTATTTTATATACTTATTGATTTACATTTACAAAATCATATATTTTGAACCAAATAAGATAACCTAATATTTTAAACGGACAGGTAATTTTTGCAAAATATATATATATGTACTGCATAATGTGCCACGCCCACAAATTCGCCTTTTTACTGGGTATCAAAGTAAAAAAATAATTTTTTTTAATGAAAACAATTTTTCTTTAATAATATTGAGCAAATACAAAATATCGACACATTTTCATACATTCCAAAAAATATACTAACTGTAGCGCTCGCGGTTTTGTGACGGTTACACTTAGAATTAAAAAAAAAAACAAATTTAATTGATTTTATTACAGATTCTGAATTCTTGAGAAATGTTCTTTTAACTTTTTCGATTTTTGCAACGCAAATTGTTCGAGAGGCGCTACTGTGCATCGCTCCTAACAAGCGGTCGCGCCAGCACAAAATATAAAAATTCAATTTTTTGGTGCTTGCGCTTGCGCACACTTATTCTCGCACACATACGCGCTTGCGTGTTCCCAGCAGACAAAAACTCCGTAAAAAATATTAAAAACTGAAGTTTTGCGGACCGCAGGCGGACAAAACGTCCGATTTTAGGCTCTAGATCGGTAGCAAAGTAAATTACTTGGGAAATTACCCAGCAGACAAAAACTCCGTAAAAAATATTAAAAACTGAAGTTTTGCGGACCGCAGGCGGACAAAACGTCCGATTTTAGGCTCAAGATCGGTAGCAAAGTAAATTACTTGTCGTGGGGTTTGTGGCAGCAAAACCTCTCATTTTCGGAGCACGAACTAATAGCGTTTGCGGACGCTGTGGCGAGACCGGAAACGGTACCGATAGCAACCCCTTTACGATACCCGAAAGAGTTCCGGTAGTGGACCTGTGGCGATACCGGAAAAAGTACCGTCTGCAGACCCTCGACGATACCCAAAAAAGGATCGTTTGCGGACATTTTGACGATGCGTTTCAGATACATTTTTAGTATCTATTTCCAACTCCATTTTTTTAGAATTTCGGGCTTTTTAAATGTAAATAAAACATACATTTATTTATGTTTATCATTATTTATTATTTATCATTATTTAACTTAAAAAATAAACATTTTACTTAAGATTTGTTCATTTCCTTAAAACTAATAATACTAATACAAACCGTCCTGTGCATTCTGCTTTTGTGTCTGCTTGCATCCTCCAACGAAAATTTGTTTATAAAAGCGGCTGTAAAAATATAAATTATTATAAGTATATACGTATTAAAAAATATACGAAAAATATACATACCTTTGACGGATGAGGTAATAAGCATCTCTCGAATGGACATTTTGGACTCTGTCCCAAACCAGGACCATTGGCGCGCCCCTTCGTCGGAAATTAAGTCTCGCCAGCATAAATAAATATAAATCTAGTCAATATTAGTTCATTAGTAAGAGATTGTACATATTAATCAATTTAAATTTAACACTTACCGATGAAAACACGTGCGTCTTGTAAAAAACTGTTCACTCACGTCCGCACAACTCGCCGGTCAAAAGGAAAAGAGTCGCAACGGGAAAAATTCCACAAACCAAAAGAGTTAAAAGATGATGCAATAATATTTGCCTCTCGCTCATTTGCAGCGAAATAACAAAAAACAGGCAAGCGACAAAAAAAGGAAGGAGAAGAACCGTTCATCGAGTTCTAGAAATTTCGTTGACGACAAGATTTTTAACGCGTGCAGTGCGTTTTAGTGTCCGTTAGCGGGACATTTGCGGCATTTGCACGGGTCCCAGTGTTAGCCCGTTTCAGTATCTGTTTTCGGACCAGGTTTCGACAATTAGGCAAACCTATTGCGGGTAGTCCGCTTTTTGGCCGCCCACTGTACGGTTTAGTGTCCGTTAGCAATACGTTTTCGGTACATTCTCGGGGAACGCCACAGTTTTGCTTTTCGTCCGTTTGCGCGTCCGTTTTTGAGCATTCCCCGAACCTAATGCGGAAACTCCGATTCTTTGTTCGCATTTAATATTTTTAGCGGACATTTCTCGGATCCATCCGCACTGAGACCGCTCTTTGCCTGCTGGGTACATGTCCTGGGGTTTGTGGCACCAAAACCTCTCATTTTCGGAGCACGAACTAATAGCGTTTGCGGACGCTGTGGCGAGACCGGAAACAGTACCGATAGCAACCCCTTTACGATACCCGAAAAAGGATCGTTTGCTGACCTGTGGCAATACCGCAGGAAGTACTGTTTGCGGACCTTTTGACGATGCGTTTCAGATACGTTTTTAATATCTATTTCCTACAAAATTTTTTTAGAATTTCAGGTTTTTTAAATGTAAATAAAACATACATTTATTTATGTTTATCATTATTTATTATTTATCATTATTTAACTTAAAAAATAAACATTTTACTTAAGATTTGTTAATTTCCTTAAAACTAATAATACTTAATACTAATACAAACCGTCCTGTGCATTCTGCTTTTGTGTCTGCTTGCATGCTCCAACGGAAATTTGTTTATAAAAGCGGCTGTAAAAATATAAATTATTATAAGTATATACGTATTAAAAAATATACGAAAAATATACATACCTTTGACGGATGACGTAATAAGCATCTCTCGAATGGACATTTTGGACTCTGTCCCAAACCAGGACCATTGGCGCGCCACTTCGTCGGAAATTAAGTCTCGCCAGCATAAATAAATATAAATCTAGTCAATATTAGTTCATTAGTAAGAGATTGTACATATTAATCAATTTAAATTTAACACTTACCGATGAAAACACGTGCGTCTTGTAAAAAACTGTTCACTCACGTCCGCACAACTCGCCGGTCAAAAGGAAAAGAGTCGCAACGGGAAAAATTCCACAAACCAAAAGAGTTAAAAGATGATGCAATAATATTTGCCTCTCGCTCATTTGCAGCGAAATAACAAAAAACAGGCAAGCGACAAAAAAAGGAAGGAGAAGAACCGTTCATCGAGTTCTAGAAAGTTCGTTGACGACAAGATTTTTAACGCGTGCAGTGCGTTTTAGTGTCCGTTAGCGGGACATTTGCGGCATTTGCACGGGTCCCAGTGTTAGCCCGTTTCAGTATCTGTTTTCGGACCAGGTTTCGACAATTAGGCAAACCTATTGCGGTAAGTCCGCTTTTTGGCCGCCCACTGTACGTTTCAGTGTCCGTTAGCAATACGTTTTCGGTACATTCACGGGGAACGCCACAGTTTTGCTTTTCGTCCGTTTGCGCGTCCGTTTTTGAGCATTCCCCGAACCTAATGCGGAAATTCCGATTCTTTGTTCGTATTTAATATTTTTAGCGGACATTTCTCGGATCCATCCGCACTGAGACCGCTCTTTGCCTGCTGGGTTCTTGTGTTTACTCATACAAGCCAGCGCATTCTATTTTTAGATTTTATACGCTCTCAACTTTGTGAGAGCGGGAGAACGCGATTGTCGTTGACATCAAAAATCATATTGCAAAACGAATGTATGGTCTAACCCTCTTTAATATATAGTTTATAAAATGTATAGTTTATAGAGTGGAAATAACCCTAATTGGAAAGCTTTACTCAGATAGCTACGGTTGTAATACCTTTCAAGAGTATAAATATATGTGTATGAACTAATTTAAAATTAGGATTGTATAAAAATATATGATATGTAATTTAAAATAATTTTTATTCAAATATACAATATGAATACGGAGACTGTTCTTATTTACCTTAACAATGTGTTTAGCTTTTCCTCGGGATTTGACTTAACCAGAAACGTCAATCCTAAAATACTCGTGGCGGTCATTAAAAGTCTGATCACATTCATTTTCATAAGCACGCAATCACTGGTTACTGTCGTTTGTTGTTGGCTGCTGATTTAAACAATACAAAAAAATTATTTACATATGTATCCATATACATATGTATGTATATATCAGATGGTAATAATTAAGTCGCCTGAATTTATATACATTTGTACATATGTACATACGAGTATGTATGTACATAAATAGGTTAAATGCACGCATACAGGTTTTTATAATCATTTTCAATAGTATAGACAGTTAAGACAGTCAAGTCGTACGTACGAACTTGACTGTCTTTACTATTGAATATGTATATGTATATATAATTGAGCGAACTAATAACTATAGTATTAGAACATTTGCCTGTAATTATATACATATACATATATATGTATAAATAAACAGACACTTATAAATATTTATATATACAAAATATATGTATATATAAACAAGAAAGGAAGCTAACTTCGGCACGCCGAAGTTTGTATACCCTTGCAGATTGGTTTTGATGTTTATATTATAGATTTAAATGCTGAAAACACTCACAAAACAGAGTTTCATTACATTTTACCTATACTTATTATGTTTACAGTTTGACAGTTACAGTTTTACTTTCCCAGCTTTATATATTTTATACATTTACCGATCGCTTCTATGGCAGCTATAGGATATAGCTGTCCGATTTTTATACAATTTATATTAAAATTCTAGAATAATAAAAAAAGCTTATATCTCAGAGTAAATAAAAATGCGTTGAAAAACAACGAAGCTATAATTTTATTTCTATTAATTTCCCGATCGTTCCTATGGCAGCTATATCATATAGTCGTCCGATTTTCAAATTTATCGAACATTTGTATGGTAGCTATATGATATAGTCGTTCGATCCGGCCCGTTCTGAAATATATATTAGTGAGAGCATATAGAAGACTATATGCAAAATTTCATTCAGATAGCTTTAAAACTGAGGGACTAGTTTGCGTAGAAACAGACAGACGGACAGACGGACAAACAGACAGACGGACATTGCTAGATCGACTCGGCTGTTGATGCTGATCAAGAATATATATACTTTATAGGGTCGGAAACGTCTCCTTCACTGCGTAGCAAACTTCTGACTGAAATTATAATACCCTGCAAGGGTATACAAATATTATATATTTACATATATGTACATACATATATGTATGTATATATGTATATATTCACAGGCCAAGCCAGTGTCTAATACTATAGATTGTTGTAGTTAACACAATTAACTTATTCCCTTCAACTCACCCGTTACTGATACCTGACATGTGAGCGGTTGATCGGAAACTAATGTTCAAACAAAAAAGACAATCAATTTTTGCATGCAATCACTTAAAAATGTACATATGTATGTACATACATATGTATGAAAGTATTTCAATAGCTTCTCAATTAACCGTATAATAAGGACTTGATTTAATTTTTATAACTTTTAGGGAGTTTCAAATATTTAAAAAAACATTTTTTTCCTAATATATAATCATATTTTTTTAAGATTCTCTAGTCCTAGTATGCTGCTCTATTAATTACAATTACAACAGTATCAAGAAATATGTTTCACAGACAGAAGACCAAAATTTAAATATGACCATGCGCAATTGTAATTAAAATCGTAAACTTTGGCTTAAAGAAATTTTATATCATCAAGAATATATAAAAAATATATTATTAATTGAGTAAATAGTAATGATAAACATTAAAGTTATAAGCATAAATGTGGAAACATATCCTAATGTTTTAAAAAAGTAAATGTGTGTGTGTGTGTTTTTTTGTTTTTACTATAATTTCAATCAGAGAACTGCCTTGAGCAGCGATGGGCACGAGATCTAACGGTTTGAGCAGCAGCTCGCTGAAAAAAAAAAAAAACAACAATCGCGAAGCGTCGCACCCACGCGACACACAGAATGTGCGAGCCGAGAAAATACACTGACAAAAACTTTTTGAGTAGATCAATATCTTCAGCCATTTTTTCGTGCATTTATGTCCGCCTAAGAAAAACGACTGCAAAAAATCCAATCTTTTTTCCCTTTAAAATTGTTCTTGTTTTTGGGACTATGTGCGAGTTCGGTCGCTTGTGTTTTGTTGTTGCAAACTCGGGACCGCGGCGATGTGCTCGCTACCTGCGTCAAAGGTCAGTGTGGTTGTTTTTGTAAATCTTCACGGTTCGCTGATCGCGAGCACAGCACTTGTGCGTCTGCAATTGTGCGACATGCTGGCGCCTCCGCAAAAAGATAACGGTTTGAGCAGTGTGAGCAAATTGAGCCACGGCGTGCCCATCGCTGGCATTGAGAATGATTGGTCCAGATCGATTAACAACGCTCAAGCCGATCACAACTCAACACAGTAGATCGCTACAACATGTTCGATCGTTGATCGTTGCAGCTCTCTGATTTCAAAAACTACAAATTAATTAAATTATTTTACCATAAGTCCATAGTGAATACGAAGCAGAAGCAAAGGGTCAATGTGCCCATAAGCATTAATTAGGTAAACAAGTGCTATCAATAAATAAATTATCGCTTTTATTAAATACTCGTTTTTTATGATAGTTTTGTATACCCTTGCAGATTGGTTTTGATGTTTATATTATAGATTTAAATGCTGAAAACACACACAAAACAGAGTTTCATTACATTTTACCTATACTTATTATGTTTACAGTTTGACAGTTACAGTTTTACATTCCCAGCTTTATATTGTGAGGAGTCGTTTGACTCCCCACAAATACGCGCCCGACAACAACAACAGCGGCCAGCGCCGGCGGCCAAGCAACAACAACCACAGTTGCCAACGCTCATGGAGAGCCACAACAACCACAGCAGCAGCCGAAGAACAACAACAGCAGCAGAAAACCCCAAACCAAAAACAAACCGGCGGCGGCCAAGGGCCGAAACCAAAACATAACCCTCGCCAATAACTTTGTAAATAACTTTGTATATCTTTTTGAATATCTCCTCCTTATGCAAACCTAAGCAATAATTGTAAGATTTCTCATACTATTTCTAAATAATAATTGTATTAATCTAAGCTTTAACGATAATCGGTAGTTATCTTTCCCCCCCTTCTCACACCACTAGCACACACACACACACACACACCCGGAGTCAGTGCATCGGCGAGCGTACCTTCCCGAGAATTTGGAAGCAGCAAAGACTTGTGCTTATCCCGAAGCCTGGTAAACTGAACGACGATCCTTCCTCATACCGACCCCTCTGTATGCTAAACACATTGGGGAAGATATTTGAGCGCATCATCTGCAGCAGACTGGAGAGAGAAATCGAGGAACGCGGAGCACTCTCGGGCCACCAGCATGGGTTCCGAAAGAAGAGAAGCACAATCGACGCGATCCGAGAAGTGACCCAGCTTGCAGCAAATGCGATCGAAGGCGAAAGATGGCAGGGTGGCACTAAGCAATACTGCCTTGTATGTACCCTCGACGTCAAAAATGCATTTAATTCGGCAAACTGGAGCCTAGTCCTGCAGGCATTGCAGCGCGCTGGCATATCTGGATACCTGATTAAGTTAATAGCCGACTATTTCAAAGACCGAGTGCTCCTATATGAATCTGATGCCGGCTACCAACAGCACCAAGTCACAGGAGGTGTACCGCAAGGCTCAGTTCTTGGGCCTATCCTGTGGAACGTCATGTATGACGGGGTTCTCAGGCTCCCATTACCACCTGGCTGCGCGGTAGTGGGGTTCGCTGACGACATCGCACTGGTCACGGTGGAGAAGCACCTAACCGAAGTCTCTACAAAATGCAGCCGCGCCATCGACATACTGATGTCCTGGCTCGCAGACAACGGGCTCTCGCTGGCCGAGCACAAAACGGAAGCAGTGCTCATAAGCAGCAGAAAAATTGTAGAGAAGGTGAGCTTCAGGGTCGGCTCGACTACCATTGAGTCCACCCCGGTGATCAAGTACCTGGGAGTCATGATCGACCACAGGCTGAACTTCAAGACCCATCTGAAATATGCTGCGGCCAAGGCATCCAAAGCTACCGCTGCCATTTCGAGGATGATGGCCAACAACCGTGGCCCCAAGCAGCACAGCAGGCGACTGATAGCGACAGTGGTGACCTCGACCATCCTGTATGCCGCGCCTATATGGGCTGATGCCATGAAGACCGTTAGCTACAGCCGGCAATGCAAGTCTGTTTACAGACGTTGTGCACTGCGAATTTCCAGTTGCTTTTGCACGGTCTCGGAAGAGGCGGCGCTAGTGGTATCGGGAACCGTACCGATCGAACTTCTGGCAGAAGAGCGAAGGACCGGAAACTCAGGCAGCAGAACCCAACGGAGTGACACTATCGCACGGTGGCAAGTGAGATGGAACAACGCGAGCACAGGCCGATGGACCCATAGGCTCATCCCTGACCTGGTGCCCTGGATCCAGCGTCGCACAGGGCAGTTGGATTTTCACACCACGCAGATCATAACTGGCCATGGATGCTTTAAGGCTTACCTGCACAGGTTCAAGCACGAAGCCAATCCATACTGCGACTACTGCGGGAGCGCAGTTATCGAGGATGCGGAGCATGTCTTTTCGCGTGCCCTCTATTCTCGGCAGAACGAGCTGCGCTGGAAGCAGCCACGAATCGTCGCCTTACACCAGGAAATCTAATCAGATGTATGCTAGAGATGCCCTCCAATTGGGATGCGGTTGCGGAAATGGCAGCCACCGTGATGCGAGAGATGAGACGCCGGGAGCAGATCCGACGCACTGAAGACACCTGAAGGAAACCGGAAGAGCGGAGCCCTGAAGAGCGGCAACTGACCGCCAGCCGCCCCGTGAAGTATAGCTTTGCGGCAGTCCCGCGGGAGCGGACACTTCTCTTTCTTACTCTACTACCTATGTATTATACTTATATCTTTTAAATAAAAAAAAAAAAAAAAAAAAAAAAAAAAAACACACCCGGAGTCCGGTGTGAAGTGAAGTTTAAATAGTGTAGACAGCTCGAAAGGCCCTAAAAAAGGTGCTATTACTAATTGTGAGACAACTGGGAAAAGGTACGTACCAGAATCGGCCCCGGCTGGCTATCCGGGCTCCCCGAATTTAGGCACTTGGAACCGCCTTTGGAACCGTGGGCAAGGGGGGGACTCTCTCCTGTCCAACGATCGGCTCTACTTTCCACGAACGCTCTCACAGCTTGGAATAGTTTCCACACGCCACTTTTTTCCCTCGCGTTTTTCCTTCTAGGCGCAACACACGATCAGCTGATCAAAGTGTTGTGCAGCGCATGCGCAGCGAGCTTTTGCACACCCGCGCAGTATTGGAAAACGCGAGCAGACAAATTCCCGCCACAGCCAAAATTTAAATTTAAATTTAGATTTGAATTTGGATTTGAATTTGAATTTGAACTTGGACTTTAGATTTTGAATCTTGAATTTTAAATTCTAAATTTTTAGTTTTGAATTTTGGATTTTGAATTTTAAATTTGGATTTTAAATTTTAAATTTTTAATTTTTAATTTTGAATTTTAGATTTTGGGTTTTGAATTTCGAATTTAAAATTTTAAGTTTTAAATTTTGAACCTTAAGTTTTGAATTTTGAATTTCAAATTTTGAATTTTGAGTTTTAATCTTGAATTTTGAATTTTAAATTTTAAGTTTTGAACTTTGGATTTTTAGGTTTGGGTTTGGATTTGAATTTAAATTTAAATTAGGCTTAGGAATTGTCATCCACATTCCGCAGTTGGCTCTGGTGGGGCTAAGAGCACAAGGCCAAGGAACTCGCCATTTTCCAACCCCCCCGCTGAGGCGGCGCCAATTAAAAGGGGCTCTGGGGACCGAGAAGGAGCGGTATAACTCCCATCAGGCATTCACAGGGGGAAATCCCCGCGCACCGAGGGACCCCGCTAGGAGCAGGTGCGATGAGCCAAGCGAAACCGCCTGCAGGCCGGGATGACGAGACCCAGGCATTAGCGGTAGCTAGAGCAGAGGAGGAACTGCTGAGAAATTTCCAGCGCAACAAGCAGAAGATGCAACACTCGCCTCCCGCGAGCATGCCAGAGAAGCAACCGGTGTCGGCACCGCCAAATGTGCAGGGACCCGTGTTTGTTTTCGCCGAGACTGAGGAGGAAACGGCTACCCCGAAGAGAAGCTGGGATGCCGTGAGCCCCGATGTGAACCAGTCAGGAGCGCACAAGAAGCAGAGAGTGGACACTAGCGCACCAGCACTAGCCGAAAAGCTGGGGAAGATGCTAGACGAGATGACCGCCAAGTTCACGGATACCAAGACCAACAACAAAAAGGTGGTCCGCCACGTCACCCAGGGGACAATCGACTCCATGCTGGCGATGAAAAAGCTGCAGGTCGACATCAGTGCAGCGCTGGCCGAGGGCCACACCAAGGGCTCTACCTCGAGCGTAAGCCAGCAGACCACTCCCACGCTGACAGCCACGATCCCCAAAGCGGCTTGTACCACCGGGCCAGGAAATTCGGCATGGCAACAGGTCAGGGCCAAGCCTAAGCCCAGAAATCCCCAACCGAGACCGGAGAGCAGCGAACTCAAAGGGATTCGAGCACCAAACGCTGTCATGCCCAGGAAGCAGCGGGCCGACGCTATTTTAATAAAATGCAGCGAAGGCTCGTACGCAGATATGCTGAAGCTGGTCAAAACTGAGCCCTCCCTCCAGGGACTCAAAGATAATGTTCAAGGTTTGCGAAGAACTGCAAATGGCGGACTTCTATTGAGAATGCAGAAGCCTCAGGACCCGTCCACACAGCAGCTGCAGGCAGCACTCAGGACGGCCATATCCGATAAAGCAGAGGTGGCGGTCATGCAGGAAACTGTGCAAGTGGAGATTCGCGACCTGGACGAGATGACCAGCGGCGGAGAAGTCACTATGGCTCTGTTTGCCGGAGAGGATTGCGACATCCCAAGCAACGCTGCACCTAGGATGCGAAAGGCGTTTGGCGGCACGCAAACAGCAACCGTCAGCCTCAGGCCTGATCATGCGCGGAGACTGCTCGATAAGGGCAAAATCCGAATCGGATGGGTCGTCTGTCGCATCAGACAGAAGACCGAGCTAAGGAGGTGCTTCAAATGCATGGGCTATGGGCATACCTCGACGAGATGCAGGGCCTCAGACTCAGTAGCCAAGGCCACACAAAACTCCTGCTTCAGATGCGGGGAAGAAGGCCACAAGCACTACACGTGCCAAGCTAAGCCCAGGTGTATCCTATGCACCAGAGGAGGCAAAACCGCGGGTGAAGCTGCGCACGCTACTTTGAGCAGGATCTGCCCTGAGTACCTGAAGGCCACCCACAACACGCAGAATGGTTAAGTTTTTACAGCTTAACTTAAACCACTGCAGAGCTGCCCAAGATCTGCTGTCACAGACGGTTTTCGAGGAGAAAATTGACATTGCTGTACTGAGTGAACCGTACAAGTCAAAGGCAGAGGGAGTATGGCAACAGAGTGCGGATGGTGGTGCAGCCATATGGAGCTGCGGGCAGTCCCCCGGACACCTGTCGCAGAGGGCGTCGAGACCTGGCTATGCAAGGGCCAAGGTCCAAGCAACCACCATCTATAGCTGCTACCTAGCCCCGAGCTTGCATATAGATGCCTTTAGAGACATCTTGCAGGAGATCGCCCGAGACGCCCGCGGAAGATCCCCAGTACTATTCGCTGGGGACTTCAATGCGTGGTGGGGGAGCTCGAAAACGACTCAGCGGGGAACCATCCTTCTGGACGCCCTGGCCACATTAGACGTTTGTCTCCTGAACGATGGAGCTAGATGCACCTATAGCAAGGCAGGCAGAGAGTCAATCATTGACCTGACTTTCGCCAGCCCGGAGCTCTGCCGGACCAGCCACTGAAAGGTCACGGATTTGCTCACATACAGCGACCACGCAGCCATTATCACCCAGACGACGCACAGCCAGCAGAGCCCGTCTCTCCGGCAATCTGCGTACAAGGTACACATGGCAACGTCATCACTGGCGACGCCAACACCTGCGCCGACATATTAGCTGCGAAAATCAAGGCTGCTTGTGATGCCGCCATGGCGAGCTCCACTAGAGAAAATGGAAGGAGACCAGTCCCCTGGTGGAATCAAGAGATATCCGTCGCCAGGAGCGAGTGCCTCTCTGCAAGGCGAAGATGTCAACGAAGTAGAGGGCGTCCCACGCAAGCGCTGTTCGAGACACGCTACAAGGAAAAGAAAAAAGCCCTCAAAATCGCTATTAAGACGAGTAAGAGCAGGTGCTTCCAAGAGCTGTGCGATGCAGCAGACCAGGAACCCTTCGGCTCGGCCTACAAGCTGGTCATGGGCAAGCTCTACAGACCGCCGACTCCAACCTCCCAGGAACAACTTGGAGCTATAATCTCCACGCTGTTCCCGTCGCAGCCGCCCCTCGTGCTGCCAAACATAGCTGCGAGTGAAGCGATCTTCACCAACGAGGAGGAAAAGTATTTCCTCCAGTAGTGCGCGTTGGCCAGCAGCAAGGCAGCCAAAGCCCCGGGACCCGATGGCATTCCCAACGCTGCACTTCATGCCATAATGAAGTCATACCCAAGCCTATTTGCACAGGTATACAACAGGTGCATTGCGGAGCGCACTTTTCCAGCAGAGACTAGTGCTTATCCCTAAACCAGGCAAAATGAATGACGACCCGTCCTCATATCGCCCCCTGTGCATGCTCAACACACTGGGGAAGATATTTGAGCGCATAATCTGCAACAAGTTGGAGAGAGAGATTGAAGAGCGTGGAGCTCTATCGAACCAGCAGCACGGTTTCAGGAAGAAGCGAAGCACGATCGACGCGATACGAGAGGTAACGCTAATGGCAGCAAACGCGATTGAAGGCGAAAGATGGCAGGGAGGCACCAAGCAATACTGCCTGGTCTGCACCCTAGATGTCAAAAACGCTTTTAACTCAGCAAATTGGAGCTCAGTCCTGCAGGCACTCCAGCACGGCGGCATATCAGGGAACCTCACCCTCCTGATAGCGGACTACTTCAAAGATCGCGTCCTTCTGTACACATCCGACGACGGCAACCAGATGCACCACGTGACAGGTGGTGTACCCCAGGGATCTGTTCTTGGGCCAATCCTGTGGAACGTCATGTATGACGGGATCCTGAGACTTCCACTACCAGATGGCTGCGCCGTAGTAGGGTTCGCTGACGATATAGCGCTGGTCACGGTGGAGAAGCACCTGTCCGATGTCTCTGCTAAATGCAGCCTTGCAATCGACATGATGATGTCTTGGCTGAAAGACAACGGTCTCTCGCTCGCCGAACACAAAACGGAAGCAGTGCTCATAAGCAGTAGAAAGACCGTAGAGAAGGTCACCTTCCGGGTCGGCCCAGTCCGGCGATCAAGTACCTCGGAGTCATGATCGACCATAGGCTGAATTTTAAGAGCCACCTGGAGTACGCAGCGGCCAAGGCATCTAAGGCCACTGCCGCTATCTCTAGGATGATGGCCAACACCCGTGGCCCAAAGCAGCATAGCAGACGATTAATAGCTACAGTGGTGACCTCGACCATCTTGTACGCCGCGCCGATTTGGGCGGAAGCCATGAGGACTGTCAGCTACAGCCGGCAGTGTAAGTCTGTCTACAGACGCTGCGCTTTGCGCATCTCGAGCTGCTTCTGCACGGTGTCAGAAGAAGCTGCATTGGTGGTGTCGGGAGCAATCCCAATAGACCTACTGGCAGAGGAGCGCAGGACTGGGAATTCAGGTAGCAGAATCCAGAGAAGCAGCACCATGGCTCGATGGCAGGATAGATGGAACAACGAGAGCACAGGACGATGGACCTACAGGCTCATCCCCGATCTGGTTCCCTGGTTGCAGAGACGACATGGTCAGCTGGACTACTACACCACGCAGATCATCACAGGACATGGTTGCTTCAAGGCTTACCTCCACAGGTTTAAGCATGAGGTCGACCCGTACTGCGACTACTGTGGCAGCGCTTTTACTGAGGACGCGGAGCATGCATTCTTCGTATGCCCCCTATTCTCGGCGGAACGAGCCGCGCTGGAAGCGGCAATGAACTGCCGCCTGACACCCGACAACTTAGTCGGTTGCATGTTGGAGACCCCCTCCAAATGGAATGCGGCTGCCGAAATGGCAGCAACCGTCATGCGAGAGCTGAGGCGCCGGGAGCAGACCCGTCGCACTGAAGGCGACCGATGAGCGGCAACAGGACCGCCAACCGCCCCCGTGAAGTATAGCTTTGCGGCAGTCCCACGGGTGCGGACTTTCCACCCTATCCATCCTCTGTAACATATGTACTTAAGCCTATATTCTTTTCAATAAAAAAAAAAAAAAAAAAAAAAAACACACCCGGAGTCCCTCGCCGCCCTGAACATCCCAGGGTACCTAATGGAGATAGCGAGGAGCTATTTCAGCGAGAGGGAGCTCATTGTGGACACGGATGTGGGTTCCAGAGCATATGAAGTCTCAGCCGGAGTCCCTCAGGGCTCCGTGTTGGGACCCCTGCTCTGGAATACCATGTACGATGGGGTTCTACGACTCCCGATGCCCAGCGACACCAAGATCGTTGGCTTCGCTGACGATATAGCTGTGGTAGTAGTCGCGAAGGAGCGGGCGACTGCGGAGGAAAACGCGAATGGTGCGATCAAAGCGATCGAGGCGCGGCTCTCGAACGCCGGCCTGGAGTTAGCGGCGCACAAGGCGGAGGCAGTCTTGATTTCGAGTAGGAAAAAGATCGAAACGGCGGAGGTCCTGGTCGGAGGGACGGCGATAAAATCCCAGAGGGCCATCAAATACCTGGGTGTCCTCCTCGATACAAGGCTGTCTTTCAAGGAACACCTACAGTACGCCCAAAAGAAGGCCAGCGGGACTGTTGGAGCACTTTTCCGGATGCTGCTTAACACCAGGGGACCCAAGCAAAGCACAAGGAGGCTGCTGACCAGCGTCATCACCGCCCAATTGCTGTATGCGGCACCAGTGTGGGCGGAGGCGGCTGGGAAAAAGTCTTACATGCGGGGAATCGAGTCCACGTATAGACTTTGTGCCATCCGAGTGGCGAGCGCCTTCCGAACTATCTCGGACGACGCGGTGCTGGTGCTAGCCGGCCTGGTCCCTCTGAGGGAGCTTATCCGCGAGAAGGCGGACATCCGTGACACGCTTCGCGGTCAGCAGGGAGTCGATACGGTCGCGAAGGCCGGGCTGAAAAGCGCGGCCAGGAAAAGGAGCTACGGAAGCTGGCAGGCACTGTGGGATGCCTCATCCAAAGGACGTTGGACCCACAGGATGATCCCCAACATCGAGGCCTAGATGGAGCGGAAGCACGGGCAGGTAGATTTTTACCTGACCCTAGTGCTGAGCGGGCATGGATGCTTCCGTAGCTACCTCAAGAGGTTTGGCCACGACACGGAGGAAAGCTGCCCGGAATGTGGATCCGGGATAACCGAGGATGCCAGCCACGTCATCTTCGACTGCCGCCGGTTTGACGAGGAAAGGGACGAGCTGGAGGCGATAGCAGGTACAGCCATCAGTGTGGACACGCTGGTGCCGCTGATGCTGGCGGACCCGAGGACATGGGAGGCGGCGGCAGAGTTCGCTGCCAAACTGATTAGATCTCTCAGGGCACTGGAGAGATCGAGGAGGGAGCAGACTGGATGAGCGGCTTACAGTTGTGCGAAGCAATGCTTTGCGGCCGTACCGCACAACCACGGGCCCTTGCCCTGTCATTTTCTGTTTCTGTGTTACTTTAGTTCGTATTGTTGATAGTAAATAAATAAATGAATATAAAAAAAAAAAAAAACACACCCGGAGAGCAGAGAGATATTCACCACGAACAAGTGGCCACGGAGCCAGCGCCGTACAAGAGCAAGAGAGAGAGGACATACGATAGAGCCCAAAAACAACCCCAGAAAATTGGCACGCGTCCAAGAAATAGCGAGAGCAAAGGAATGCACCGAAACTTCGAGAAGTGGAAAAATACCGGAGCTGCAGAAACTTACAAAACGCATGGCATATTTTTTCACTCTTGCGGACGTGGCGAACTCGATCAGAAGTGCGAGCGGTAAATATGTAAAACCTTGAGCCAGATTTTTGCGATTGCTAAGTGCGGTTTACAGTGAGCAGCGAGTGACGACGAGGAAGTCCCAAGTGACCAAGGAGACCACCAAGAGGGATACGCTGCAGCCAGTGGCCAGCGAGAGCCAGCTTCGACGCTCAAGGCCAACAGCGGCGGCGATCAGGAGCGCCCAATTTCAGCCACCGGCTGCCAACATAGGAGGAGATCAACCAGGCGATCTCGAGGAGCGTGTGCCCGGCCCAGGACTAGCGGCGGAGCACCAGGAGACCACGCGAGTGTGTGTGTGCGTGAAACCGAGACGGGTGAGCGAATTAGAGTGAACCGCATTCTGGCCAGCGAGAATCACGTGCGAAACTTTTCGAAGGCCTCGATGCGGTGTCACCCAGAGTAGGCTAGATCTAAGAGAACTTAATAACCCCGAGTTAACCTAACCTAACCCCACACTGAGAGAAACCATTGACAGAGAAAAATAAAATGAATCGAAGCTATATTAAATAAAGAATATTTACTTGCATACATCTTTAAATTCTCTGATTTTTCCCGCCGAGCCTAACCACACTGAGAGAAAGTGGGTAGACCAAATCTTAGGAAACTTGTTGTAAATTTTTAAATAAATATTTCTCGCACATTGAAAATACGGTGCTCGCCATGATTATTCCCAAATAAATTCTGGAAATATTTTAAAGGGAAAACTTAGATCTTTTCTCGCCACTGTCGGTCGTATTGAGCCCACCCTTGCCTGACTACACTGAGAAAAATAAAGTAAAACTCGGGTTCCAAATCATTTAAATATATGTTATTTTTATGGAATCCCAGACACTCGCGGCCACTTTTAGAGCATTCGAACCGATCACACTGAGAGAAATAAATTAATAAAATGCATCAATAAATATTTCTCGACTATTTTCTTGCGCTCCTAGGGAAAATATACCAAGAGCTGCCCGCGCATAAAATACATGGACTTCGAAAACCCGCGCTTGTTCAGGGCCAGGCTTAGCCGGCCGAAATATTTCAAGCCGCCGATTTTTTCCATCCCGATGCCTAGCTTGTAGGCCGTAAATTCTGCCCTTAGAAAGATGTGTCCCCCATAATCGGCCCCCCTCTCTTGGCCCCTTGTAGTGACTGCTATGAGCCAGGCCCAAAACGCGTCTCCGCCGGTTCTTTTGCTATTCTGCAACCATTTCTCCTATTATGTACCTCCGGTGACTGACACATTACATCTTTCGTCAGTCTACCGATTTTCGGCATGTTCCCACTGGACGTGACTGAGCCTACTCCCAGCCGTCGAGACTTCTTTACAGAATGGCGCCAGAACAGGGACATGGGGTTTACGAATTTTAGAGGACGAAAATATGGCCTAAAGACCCATCTGGGTACATGAAGTTCGAAAAATTTTAGGTTCCGCCAC